ATGGCCACTTCCGGTAATACACCTGCGAGTGTCTCACAGCACTCTGGCTAATTTTAACACTCACGTTCTTCGTGTCGTAATTAGTTCATTTTCAATTAGAATAAAAATATTTTTAAGTGTGAGTGTGTTTTGTGTAATTATAAATTTGAGTGTAATTCAGATTCGACTAATTAAGCCGGGGGTTTTTGTGTTCGTTTTTGCAGTTTTGCAGGTTTCGCCCTAGCGTACGGCCGTAATTACCAGCAAATTGCGCTGAGTAATTATTTTTAAGTCGAGCAAAAATCAGCGTTTTTTACTCACTCGTCCTGGAACATCAATTTAGTTTATTTTAATTATATTAATTAAATATTGCAGCAATAAAAATAAAATTTACTATTTAATTTAATATAAATTAATTTTAAGGGAATATATAGCAAATGGTTTAGTTTTGGATGATAATAAAAAAAATGTGCCCGGCGCCTCCACCAAAACGGTTTTCGAATGACCCCGCCGTACTTGCGCCGCTATTGATTTCTAATCACTAATGGTCTAATGGCAAGACGATCGCACAACGGAGAGGCGATTTGGCAAAGCCTCCGCCATCCAGCACCATCGCAGCGAAGGTAATTAGAATAGATAAGAAGCGCTCCAGTTTACTTCGCCCCGTGTGTGTGCATCTGATGCACAGCGCCAACATCCCAAACCAAACCTAACCTAACAAATAAACACTCAACATAAAAATATACTAAGTGTTTATTTATTTCATAATAAATAAATATATATAAAAAATGAATTGCTGTTCGTTAGTCTCGCTAAAACTCGAGAACGGCTGAACGGATTTATCTTATCTTGGTCTTGAATTATTCGTGGAGGTCTAGGGAAGGTTTCAAAGGTGAGAAAAATCCGAATAATTGCCGGGGAAATCCTCAAAACAGCTCTTTTCTATAGAATAAAATTTGACATTGAGATTCAATCATAGTTATAGTTAAATAGTTGAATTCGAGATGGCGCGCTGAAGTGCATTTTTGACAAAACTTTATATGCATAATTTCTTTAAATTAAAATTGCTAATCTTATTGATATAATTGACTCTTACTACGTGTATGTCTAGAACAAGAGAGTAAAAACGAATTACATTTTTATTAAACACTGCCGGAACGAAGTCGCGGACAACAGCTAGTAAATAAATATTTAAACATTTTAACACTTTATATATACGAATTTGTTTGGGCATCGAGGATGATTTGTCAGATTAACCGAGAGCGAAACCAAAACCACAACCTCGACTGGATTTAGATTTACATTTAGTTTTAGGTTAGGTCATACATATATGCATACGTTTGGTGTGGGTGTGTGTAGGTGCGCGTGACCGATAAGTTAGAATGTGCAAAAACGTTTTCGGGATGCGAGGGATGCGAGGGGAGATTAACCCACGGCGCGAGGAGTTTTCCGAGTGGGTTTTCGGGTTACACGCTCGAGTTACTTTACACTTGCAGACAAGCCCCGGTGGCGTATAGGAGGAGTAGGAGTATATACAAGGGGATGTGATTTTTTAATGTTTGTTGTATTGTGGGAAAGATTTCCGAGGGTTTGTATCAGTATCATTGGAATTGGGGAATTTAAGGGTATTTGAATTATTTTCGGACATATTTGCATGTTTATTTCATGGGTGAATTGTTTTAGTGGTACTGGGGATTAAAGAAAGGGTGTTTACATGTATTAACAGGTTTAAATTAAGGATTTATACGGTGGGTGAAAAAATATGGAGTTTAAAATAATTTAAAATGAAAAAAATATTGGGATCACCCTGTATAAAAAATTTGTGATATTTATATTAGTGTAAAATTTGATTAACGTTGATATATAAAAATATATTACAATTAGAGCTCAAAATTGAGAATTTATTTTTTTTGTTACACAAACTTCAAAACTATTTTACACACCCTTCAAGTTAAATTTTAGCAACAAAAAGTAGTCTATGTTATTCTCCAAGGTCCAAAATATCTCCATACCAAAATTTATCAAAATTTATCGAGTGGTTTTCTCGTAAACGTGTTATAAACATACAAAACATTAAATTCACATTTATAATATTAGTTAGAATGCATTTTTTATTATATTCCCCCATAAATATTAAAATGTTATGCGTTAAAATACAATATTTTATTATTTTGGTATTTCGGCCCGTCGAAATTAAAATGGACGACTCTATATTATTTAAACTAACGCGTTTTTGGCGTGTTTTGTTGTATTGTGTGGCCGTGCACCGGTTTCGACGCATTTAACCAGTACGAATGGATTGTTTAATAAACATTCGACTAGTCAAACAACCAAACAAAACTAGCCCTCATCCGGAATCATTTTAACAACAAATATCATTACGTTTATTATAATCTATTAATATTCATGAGATGCGCCCGGACTGATTTGATCAGAATATAAATAAATAAAATCGTACATATTAATTTAAATAAATTAAAATATTTAACTTTTCAATTTTTTTCACACAAAATTGACTTCAACGTGACAATTTTGTATAAAATTAAAATTTACATGAAAATAAAAATGTTTCCCTCAATTGTGTTGACAGGAAAGTTGTTTGGTCACGCACTTCCGGTTAACGTTTACGCAGTTTTCTACTCTTGCGGAATTTTAAACTCAAACGTTTTTATTTCCCATTTTAGCAGTGATGAAATGTTGATATCGCGGGGTTGCAGCTGCTGAAGGTTCCACATTGAGTCAGATAAATTACATGAATACTGCATTCAATTAATAATTCACAGCGATCGATTTGTTTGTTTGTTTTTTACGTTTTCATTCCAGCTATTATCAACTGACGCCATCTATTGACATAGAAAGCAACAAACATTATTCCTACTCGTCTAGTGCTATTTTTGCGATAGGTGGCGCTGCTGTGGTGCTGTAACCAGTGTAACAACACTACAGTTATTATTGGAAAACTATTCACTTTGCTTTCAGACGAATTGAATTGCGTAAACACTCTCAACAAATAAAAATATTTGTTTTCCAAGAAGTTGTGCAAACATCAAGATAAATTTAATACCAGGTACTAAATCCAGATATGAAACTTCCCATCGACCACTTGAAGAAAATGTGTTGTCTACAACAGAAACCGGAAATACTTATTGAAAAAGTTTACAATTTCCAAAAATTAATTAATTAATTGAAAGTTTTGACACAAGATAATTACTTTTTAATTAATAAAAATTGAAGCGCCCTGCGACGTGATTACACCTAGTCTCAAACTTTTTCCGTTTTCCGGCTTGAAGACATAATTATGCGATCATTTTTCACAGAGTGAGTTTTCACCCTGGGCGAGAGAAAGATTTGCCTGCGAAAGGAAGCGGAAAAATCAACGAGCGTCCAAGATGCCGGAAAGCCGGAAGGAAAAAGATTAAATGGCGGCGATTAGAAAACCAAATGTCACCGAGCGTAATAAACCCCCAGCCGGATTACATATTTTGACGAATCTTTTAATTTTGTCCAAAAATAAAAAAAAATCTGATTTTTTTTATTTCCGGTTTTGTGTGTGTGTTAACAAGTTGGTTAAACGCCTGCTTAAATCTTTTTAAAAAGAATGATTGATAGCACTTCTTTCATCCATGGATTCACATCTTCCTCATCGTGGAACTTTGACATTCATCCAGCGTTTCCAAGATTTCGCAGACTTGAAAGAAGATTACGTGCCACTACATAGGGGCACACAAGTATCCTCTTGTAGAACATTAGCTTAGATGTCGATGTCTACTCCTGCTTCACTCTTCGTCGCCGGAGAAGAGTCTATAACTAATCTCGCTAATCTTAGTCGTCGCGCATCGATTCGGTAACTTCGTTGCGGCCATAGAAACTTCAAATAAATACCCATCGAAGTGCGGAGATACAAAGATATAGATAACTAATCGATTCGATCATTAAGACCAGCCTGGAATGACCGAGGAGGGAATCCGTGCAAGTTGCGAATCAAAAACGTTAATTAATTATGGCAAAAGTCGTGTTTCAACGCAATTTAATTAGCGATGAAGTTATCGCAGAGTAATGTACTGCTAATTCCGGAGGCGGTGTAAATTTGTTTTGTTTTGTAAATTGTTTTTGTGTCGCGCAAGAAGACAAGAGACAATTAAATGCTCGTTAATCGCTGAGGTGCGGACGCGCGAATAATAACTTTTGTTTTATTGCTTTCCAGAGACGCGGCGATTAAAAAGTTGCATAGCGTGGTGATTTAATTGGCCTGGGGGAAGGTTTACAGCGTGTAGTGTGGGGCGACACTAGCGACACTCAAAAGTGAAAGGTATATTGGGTTGCATATATTAATTTACGACCACAACCTTCAAAACAAGAAAAATAACCTTAAATGATAATTTTAACACAATTTTCTTTAGAAAAACTTGAATATCTTCGAGAATATTAATCGTACAGTATTTGGAGGTATATCAAATGAAAGATAATTTAATTGTGCGTATTATACACTATAAATTTTTTGAAAGCAAGTATTAGAAACAATTTTAAATGTAAAAATATAAAAAATTTCAATACAATTATCCGCATGGCCTATTATATCTTTAGAAAAACTTGAATATCTCCGAAAATATAAATCGTATAGTATTAGAAGATATATCAAATTAAAGATAATTTAATTACGCGTATTATGCACTTTAAATTGTTTTAAAATATTAATTAGAAACCAATTTATCAGTAAAAATATAAAACTTTTCAATACAATTATCCGCATGGCCTATTTCCTGATTTCTGTGCATTCAGTCAGTCAAATTCAATGTTTGAACAAGCAAATAATGCAACAGCAAAGCGGAAGCAATCGATAGTCACAGATCCATTGCTCCATCCACACTACAACCACCACTTTTCGATTGCGTGTTTAACTGTTAACAAACGCATCAGAGATTTCAAGGATTGATGCGATTAGGAAGCTGTTCGTTTGCCAACAGACACGCCATCCGCTCATTGCACTCAACACCACAATTAAGACCCAAATAATACACAAATTTATCCATAAAATTAAATTTATTTTGTAAAAACTCAATCAGCAGAAATAGCAAAGTCGGCAATACGTTGAACAATCTTAATAGTATAAGTCAAATCATTATCCTTACAAAAAGACTTAACCATGTCATAATGAGTAAAAACAAATTGATGATTATTGAATTCTTCTTCTTGCCCTTGTTCCAAATCCGGACAGACACTCTTCATGGCAAGTTTATGTCCTGGCTCATGCTGGTTCTGCACATCAATGATGAAATCATACACTTCACCATTATTGACTTCTTCAGTTAGAACACGAAACACACACCAACGCATGAAACCAGTGATGAAATTCACTTCCCAGACACATTTGAAAACCTCCCGGAAGGCAAAGAACACCATGTAGTAACTCGCAGTGGATGTTTGCCCATCCCTCACAAAATTGGAACAAGTCAGACGTTGAATGTTACTACAGAAGATATTATTCGGATGGTGCTTGATACAATGTCCAACGATGTCCTTTCCACGTCCATGCCATCCACAATCGTTGATGATCTTCAATGGGCAGCTGTTACCTCCATAGCGGCATTGGAACTCATGGGATTCGATGTGGTCTCCGCCATAACGCTCCATACATCCATATTCTTGATACTTGCAGGGGAACTCCAACTTGGCGTGGAGTTTCTCCAACACAAAGGACCTCGATGAGAAACTTAGGACCTGACGGCATGTTGGGCAGGTTTTTAGTTTTTTGTAACACTCGTTGCAGAAACTATGGCCGACCATGCATTGTCTGATTGGTGGGTGCATGTGTTGGGTACATACAGGGCACTCAAACTCCGTGACCAAGGACTGCATCAGGGCATCAGCTGGTGACATCATGATGATTGGTTTGATTGGTGAAATAATCTGAGAAGTTTAGGTGACAAAAACAAATGTCAGACTGATTTTAAGTTTTGGATTGTATTGTTTTTATGAGGAGATTGTTTTAGGGTGGGGGTAAGGTTTTTACAGTCATCATAGTCTACTATAATTTATAAGTAGGTATACGCGGAGTTAATCGGATTAAGATTTCTAAGAAGACTTGATTAGGGATTATACTCGTATTTTTGGTATGGTTTGGAGCAGGTAGATGGAAATGAAAGATGTTTGTAGTCGTAAAGCGACGACATCTACGAAGTGAAAGTGAAAGTGAAAGAAAATAATGACACACGCGTTTCTATACAGAGATTTAACTATAGGCAACTAAAAATACACAAAAACTTTAATAAATGCAAATAAAATTTTTATTTTTAAGTTTTTGATAAAAATAAACCCTACAAAATATTCCCAACTACAAAAAATCATTATTTATTGCTTGTTTTGTTTATTTTTATTAATTTTACACAAAAAAATCATAAAATTTCATGTAAGAACCACAAAAACATTTTTTTAACCTAAAAATTTATTACTTAACTAAAAATATCTTAAAATATTATTGTGGTAAATGTATAGCGATACTCCTCGGAAAAATTTTCACAACATACGGTAGAACATCCTCCTTACAAAACCTCTTCACCATATCATAATGCGTAAACACATATTGTTCATTATTCAACTCACACTCTTCACTCTGCATAATCGTAGGACAAGCTCCCTTAACAATAACCTTATCATGCGGATCCAAATCACTGAAAATCTCAATCAAAAAATCAAAATTTTTATTCGAATCAATCCGATCCGTGATCATCCTGAACACACACCACCGCATAATCCCCGTTTCGAAATCCACCTCCCATAAACACTTGAAAAACTCATGAAACGCATGAAACAATAAAAAGTACGTTGTTGCCGCCGCCGGACCACTTTGTTCAAACTTCCCACATGACAACTTCTGTATATTACTCCGGAATACATTTGCACGATGTTTATTCATACAATGTCCCATGAGTTGATGTGATCGTCCCGCCCATGTGCATTCGGTTAATTTCCTCAACGGGCACGGATTGTATCCGAATTTGCAGCTGTATTCATGACGTTGGATGAGTGGTCCTTTTACCTTTTGATGACATCCTTTCGGTGCGAATCTGCATGGGAATGAGAGTTTCGAGTGGAGTTTTTCTAAGATGAAGGCACGTGATGTGTACCGGAGTGATTGTTGACACGTGGGACATTGGCGTAGTTGGTGATGGCAGTTGTGGCAGTAGTTGTGACCAGTGGAACATTGTCGTATTGGTGGGTGCATGAAGTTCTTGCAGTGTGGGCAGCGGTATTCTTCGACCAATTCGTTGAGGACTGCTTCAGGTCGTTGTGGCATCTTTGCTGGGTGTCAAACAAATGACTGGTGAGGTGTTAAGTGCAGGGCTTTTATAGGAGACCTTTGGGGGGTTAGAGAGGTAAATTTTGAGGCGGAAAATGACATAACCTCTTTAAAAAGTTGTTTTTTTTTGTTTTTTGAAAATTTATGATATTTTTGTAAAAATTCTTTTATTTTGGTCAAAAACAAGTCAAAATATTAAAAAATCTTTAAAATTATATACAGGGTGGCACCAGAAATATGTTTATTTAGGTTATATACAAGATAAATAACATAACCTCACTTGAAAGCTGTTTTTTTTCTTTATATTTTTATTGTTTTTTGAAAGTTTTTGATATTTTTGTCAAAATTCTTTTATTTTAGTCAAAAACAAGTCTAAATAATAAAAATTATATATAGGGTGATACCATAAATATGTCTATTTAGGTTTTATAGAACATAAAATTACATAACCTCACTTAAAAGCTGTTTTTCTTTATATTTTTAGTTTATTCCAAAAATTTTGATATTTTTATCAAAATTATTTTATTTTGGTCCAAAACACGTCAAAATATTAATATTTATATACAGGGTGTCACCACAAATATGTATAATTAAATTTTATACAGCATAAAATGACATAACCTCACTTAAAACCTATTTTTCTTCACATTTCTTTTTTTTTTAATTTAAATTGTAAAAAACCTCAAAAATTTGCAAAATAAATCCACAATTCATGTTTTTTCGGCGATCTGATATGAAATTTACTAAGATTCTCCACAATGTGACACTAGATGGCTATAGATCATCTTTCCACGTGTCCTAGTACGAGTATATGCCTTGAGGTGTTATCAGCGTGCATGCAGTGTCGACGAGGTCTATAAATTCCCCCACAGTTTCTAAGAGCGTATAAATCACACCTCACAACTTCCCGACGCGAACAAGAAAGATGTTACCAAGCAGACATTAATTATCCACACTAAATGATCATATTCGCCGATTTTTAACCACCAATAACCTTTTAATAATTTTTGCATTTTTTCATCATCAGTATTCTTAATATACTATAATATTCTCCTCTTGAGATGGCTGAGACAGAACAGTTCACTCTCGATTTGAATGTGAATGATTGATGAACTGCCGCAAGATGGTGTGGTTGTCGCATGGGGTTAACCCTCAGATTAAAAGCTACTTGACTCTGGTTGCGATCTGCGCACATACGATTTGCATAAGTTTTTTTTCTCTGCCAGCGCTCGGCGTCCGCTTTTTGGCAACCGTTAGCAAAACACGCATGAATCACGCCCGTCGAAGGCAAGAAGCTCAACAAAACGCCGACGATTTGTCAGCGGGGATCATTTTTCATGCGCTGATCGAATAATTACACTTCGTGGAATATATTAAAGGGATTATCCAGGTAGGTATCTAGTTTAACTACCGGATTAAAATTTATTACACTTTAGGTCATATTTTATTGTATTCTTATTGTTTGGTGCGTCTGGAAATTCCAAAAACACAAATAATTTAAATTTTACTTTTGGCCTGGTTGCTTTTGAGGAAACAAAGCATTTGATGCATAATTTACTCAAGCATTTGTGCGACTTTCCAGTGGGTGGCGTATTTTTGGAACAAGTGAAACGGTTACGCTTCAAACACATTTTCTAGACTTCCAATTAAACGCAAACGAGAATCAAAGAAAAATATATGGCTCCTACGCAAGAATTAATCCGTCGATGTCAGGGTGAAAGCAATTCAGGAAATACGCACGCAGATGTATTTATCGAGCGTCATTAGTATTGATTTCTTTGATTCCGCGCGAAAATAAAAGCAAAGTTGAAAAGAATTTCGGTGGATTTAAATTTTTCGTATTTATCTTTGCGAGGGTAGCACCGCAGAGACAAAGGCGAAAGGGATTAGTATAATACGTTTGAATTATTAATGAAACAGCCAGAAGACATGTCTCGTGCTATACAATTAATAAGCGGTACGGGCCGAGAGAGGTGCGTAATTGATGTAATTTGTTCGGAGGACTCATTAAAACGAAGGTCCAACCCTTCCCACGGCGAAATACTCAAACGAATACATTTAAAAATGACCTTGTTAGTGAATTTTACCACAAAAATAAATAAAATGCAAATTTTAAAAATAGCTTTGGAGAGACATCTGTTTAAAGTCTTTATAACTAAATATTTAAGGTTATTTTTTGTAATTTTATTTATTTTTAAAGATTTTTGGTATTTTTGGAAGGATTTTTATTCATTTTAATAGAAAAATTAATAGAATACAAAGAAAAACATTGTTTTCTAGAATAAATTTCAGTTTTTGTAATAAATTTACTGAATTTTTGAAGAAAATCATGAAAATTTGTTTTTTCATTAATTTTTTGTAGTAAAAAAGACTTTTAACAAGTTTTACTGCTAAAATTATAGCAAAATGTAGTGTAACCTCTTTAAAATGAGGTTTATAAAGTGTCGTTACATCCAGGAACAAAACATAACCAAATATTAACATTTTACGTGGATAGGCAACTGTTTAATCTTTTGTAAACTCAATTATTCTTGTAAAAATGCCGGTAAATATTTCCTGAAGTCTAAATATGAATTCCGCGTCGCTCAGTTGTATTCACTTGTGTTATGTTTAAATGATTTTCTAGTAACGCAACGTGCACCCCAACAAATTAGCTGAAAAATCGTGCTTAAGTTATAGAAATTTGCATTGCAATTTGTGTGTATGTTGGGTTGAATAACCACAACAATATTTCAAATGTTACCATTGATGTCATGTCTTTAAACAAATATTCTAGCTCATAATTGCTTGAAATTAAAATATTTTTCGTCGTTACACCGAAAAAATTAATATAAACCTATCAAATTATATAAATTTTGTAGTTATACAAAGTTTTTAAATTATTTTGTCATATTTCAGTTTATTTCAAAATAAAAAATATCAAACCGATGAAAGTAAAAATTAAACTTTCTTGATGCCTGAAAAAAACGCTCTCCTATATGGCGTAAAATTTATGCGGTAATGCAGTTTTATTGTTTGCGCACAGCCGTCAGTCGGGCGCGTCATAAAAGTCCGTATTCGTTGAAACTACGTGTGCAATGCAGCAAAAAAAATCCTCATTTCTAGCTTTACAACAACTAATATACCTACCCTCATACACGCTGTGTTTTAAAGGCTTGATTTTTTCCCCGGTGCGCGGTGTGGCGGCCCTTTTTAATGCATGTTACCAATCAATCATTGAGTCATTGTAGATTTGCGGCGTTTTCATTTGTCGCGACACGCTTTTAATAGAAACGTACAGTTTGCCAACATGTTCACAGCGAGCAGCATGTGGAGCGAAATTTAAAAATGAGCCGCAACGCCGAGGGGCGCAATGTTCAACATTGAATAATGGCGACGCGGAAAGTTGCACCATGTTTTTCCTGCATTGAATTCTCTCTTTTTTTTTGCGCTACAGGTACAAGCGAAGCAAACAAAAGTCGTTTGTACACCGGCGACATCTGCGAATTGAAAATGAAAGCAAATAACTAATGCACACACAGCGCTCCGTTTCAATTTAGAGAAATTAAACCGTAGGCAACCAAAAACACACGAATAGCGCAATAAATACACGCGCAAGTTTTTTGTTTGAGTAAATCATAAAA